TGAGTGAGTGGGTGAGTGAGTGGGTGAGTGAGTGGGTGAGTGAGTGGGTGAGTGAGTGAGTGAGTGGGTGAGTGAGTGGGTGAGTGGGTGAGTGAGTGGGTGAGTGAGTGGGTGAGTGAGTGGGTGAGTGAGTGGGTGAGTGGGGTGAGTGAGTGGGTGGTGAGTGGGTGAGTGAGTGGGTGAGTGAGTGGGTGAGTGGGTGAGTGAGTGGGTGAGTGGGTGAGTTAGTGGGTGAGTGAGTGGGTGAGTGAGTGGGTGAGTGAGTGGGTGAGTGAGTGGGTGAGTGAGTGGGTGAGTGAGTGGGTGAGTGAGTGGGTGAGTGAGTGAGTGGGTGAGTGAGTGGGTTCTTCCCACTCTAGCACCACTCAAGGTGTTGTTCCAGCTGGTCTCCCAGCAATTCTATATCAATATTCATTAATAATTCCATAATATTCGCCCGTATACTCTCCCAATTGTGCTTGTAGGGGGTCGAGTCACAGCTCCTCACCCCGGCCTCACCAGTTACCTTCAGCAGATGCTCACTATAGTATAAGATAGTATCCCCAGATAGTGTAACTGACAGTATCCACAGACAGTATAAGTAACAGTATCCCCAGTCAGTATAAGGGATAGTATCCCTGACTATACCTAGGGATAGTCTCTGACCCCTCTTTCACCCCTTTACCCCATTTTCACCACTAATCTCTTCCCTTTATCCATTCCTCTTTCATCCTGTTTCTCAGTCTGTAATCCTCCCATTTCTTCCCCATTAGTTGCAGTTATCGTCTATTATCGTCCCTTAAATAGGTGTCAGGAGACGTATTACAGAAAGGAAGATTATTATTTAGATGTTTCGCTCGGAAATGAGCTTTATCAAGGTCACTTGTGAGCGAAAAGTTGCCAGAGGTGAATGTTATGGTCTTTTATGTGTGGGTGGGATGGCACCTTGTTCAGTCTAGTGCCACCTTGTTCAGTCTAGTGGCACCTTGTTCAGTCTAGTGGTACCTTGTTCAGTCTAGTGGTACCTTGTTCAGTCTAGTGGTACCTTGTTCAGTCTAGTGGTACCTTGTTCAGTCTAGTGGCACCTTGTTCAGTCTAGTGGCACCTTGTTCAGTCTAGTGGTACCTTGTTCAGTCTAGTGGCACCTTGTTCAGTCTAGTGGTACCTTGTTCAGTCTAGTGGTACCTTGTTCAGTCTAGTGGTACCTTGTTCAGTCTAGTGGTACCTTGTTCAGTCTAGTGGCACCTTGTTCAGTCTAGTGGTACCTTGTTCAGTCCACCAGCTAGAGTAACTAGGGTACTATTGCGTGTCTTTGTACACTCTCCTAATGGTAGTAGTAGTAGTAGTAGTAGTAGTAGTAGTAGTAGTAGTAGCAGTAGTAGTAGTAGTAGTAGTAGTAGTAGTAGTAATAATAATAATCTTTATTTTTACAAGTACATGATACAACTTATACAGACCATCGCTGACAACAATGAAGTCCCTTGTTATGCAGAGCATTTCTAGCAAATTAGGTCAGTTTTGTCCCGAGGATGCGACCCACACCAGTCCACTAACACCCAGGTACCTATTTTACTGCTAGGTGAACATGGACACAGCAGGTGTCTTAAGGAAACACGTCGTAATATTTGCACCCGTACCGGGGATCGAACCATGGACCTCAGTGTGTAAGCTGAGTGCGCTACCAACCCTCAACCACTCTTCTGAAAACATTATTTAACATTCAGAAAGTTATAAATATTTGTGTTTTGAAAACAAATGTTTCAAGAATTCCGAGAAGTTTGGAGATAATTCTTTCACAAACATTAAATAATTTCCACATATCTCAACTACACTGACAAAAAAAAAAAAGATTTAGACACGTATCCCAACTTTGTCAGTTTGTAAACAACTTTGTGTTCCTCTAACTTGGTTAATTAATAGGATTTTGGAGACCAGTTTTTTGGGCGAATTTTAGGATGGTGGGATCTGGCTGCTTCCCTCACAATAATATTAATAATAATCTTTATTTCTACAAGTACTTGATGCAACTTATACAGACCATAGCTGACATCAATGACATACTACTAAATAGAAATCCCTTTGTTATGTATAACATTTCCTGGCAAATTAGGTTAGTTTTGTCCCCAGGATGCGATCCACACCAGTCAACTAACATCCAGGTACCTATATACTGCTAGGTTAACAGTGACAGTATAACATAGCAAGGCACAGGGGATCTACCAATGGTTGTGGAAGGTTGTTATGAGGAATGAATTCGTTGCTAAGATTCAAACTCGGTGAATAATGAATGAATGCAGGTGTGTCTTCAGGGAAGTGAAGAATGTTTGTGTTTTGTGGTGGTGAGGTGTTGTTAGTGTCACCTGGACCAGGTGGGTGGTGTGGTGTTGTTAGTGTCACCTGGACCAGGTGAGTGGTGAGGTGTTGTTAGTGTCACCTGGACCAGGTGAGTGGTGAGGTGTTGTTAGTGTCACCTGGACCAGGTGAGTGGTGAGGTGTTGTTAGTGTCACCTGGACCAGGTGGGTGTTGAGGTGTTGTTAGTGTCACCTGGACCAGGTGAGTGGTGAGGTGTTGTTAATGTCACCTGGACCAGGTGGGTGGTGAGGTGTTGTTAGTGTCACCTGGACCAGGTGGGTGGTGTGGTGTTGTTAATGTCACCTGGACCAGGTGGGTGGTGAGGTGTTGTTAGTGTCATCTGGACCAGGTGGGTGTTGAGGTGTTGTTAGTGTCACCTGGACCAGGTGAGTGGTGAGGTGTTGTTAATGTCACCTGGACCAGGTGGGTGGTGAGGTGTTGTTAGTGTCACCTGGACCAGGTGGGTGGTGTGGTGTTGTTAATGTCACCTGGACCAGGTGGGTGTTGAGGTGTTGTTAGTGTCACCTGGACCAGGTGGGTGTTGAGGTGTTGTTAGTGTCACCTGGACCAGGTGAGTGGTGAGGTGTTGTTAATGTCACCTGGACCAGGTGGGTGGTGAGGTGTTGTTAGTGTCACCTGGACCAGGTGGGTGGTGTGGTGTTGTTAATGTCACCTGGACCAGGTGGGTGGTGAGGTGTTGTTAGTGTCATCTGGGCCAGGTGGGTGGTGAGGTGTTGTTAGTGTCACCTGGGCCAGGTGGGTGGTGTGGTGTTGTTAATGTCACCTGGGCCAGGTGGGTGGTGAGGTGTTGTTAGTGTCACCTGGACCAGGTGAGTGGTGAGGTGTTGTTAGTGTCACCTGGGCCAGGTGAGTGGTGAGGTGTTGTTAGTGTCACCTGGGCCAGGTGGTTGGTGTGGTGTTGTTAGTGTCACCTGGACCAGGTGGGTGGTGTGGTGTTGTTAGTGTCACCTGGACCAGGTGGGTGGTGAGGTGTTGTTAGTGTCACCTGAACCAGGTGGGTGGTGTGGTGTTGTTAGTGTCACCTGAACCAGGTGGGTGGTGTGGTGTTGTTAGTGTCACCTGGGCCAGGTGGGTGGTGTGGTGTTGTTAGTGTCACCTGGACCAGGTGGGTGGTGAGGTGTTGTTAGTGTCACCTGGGCCAGGTGGGTGGTGAGGTGTTGTTAGTGTCACCTGGACCAGGTGGGTGGTGTGGTGTTGTTAGTGTCACCTGAACCAGGTGGGTGGTGTGGTGTTGTTAGTGTCACCTGGGCCAGGTGGGTGGTGTGGTGTTGTTAGTGTCACCTGGACCAGGTGGGTGGTGAGGTGTTGTTAGTGTCACCTGGACCAGGTGGGTGGTGAGGTGTTGTTAGTGTCACCTGGACCAGGTGGGTGGTGTGGTGTTGTCACAGGAAATCCTCTCATCTCACCTGACAATCATCACATCAACAAACAGATACAATCACTAAGCAATATCTTCGTCTAGATCACTAGTTTCCAGCACGAGGACTGACGTGGTCTCTGAGTTTCCAGCACGAGGACTGACGTGGTCTCTGAGTTTCCAGCACGAGGACTGACGTGGTCTCTGAGTTTCCAGTACGAGGACTGACGTGGTCTCTGAGTTTCCAGCACGAGGACTGACGTGGTCTCTGAGTTTCCAGCACGAGGACTGACGTGGTCTCTGAGTTTCCAGCACGAGGACTGACGTGGTCTCTGAGTTTCCAGCACGAGGACTGACGTGGTCTCTGAGTTTCCAGCACGAGGACTGACGTGGTCTCTGAGTTTCCAGCGCGAGGACTGACGTGGTCTCTGAGTTTCCAGCACGAGGACTGACGTGGTCTCTGAGTTTCCAGCACGAGGACTGACGTGGTCTCTGAGTTTCCAGTACGAGGACTGACGTGGTTTCTGATTTTCCAGCACGATGACTGACGTGGTCTCTGAGTTTCCAGCACGAGGACTGACTTGGTCTCTGAGTTTCCAGCACGAGGACTGACTTGGTCTCTGAGTTTCCAGATTATCTTAGTTCAACCATTTGTGCTCCTGGGCGGACATGTTATACACACTTTTCGCATATTTCATAGAATAACATTATTTGTATCCCACGTAACATATCCATAATGTTACTGGGATGCTGCTTCCTTTGAGTCAATTTCAACATCTCACGAGACTAGTTGAAACCCGATGCTACTCATGTCCCGACATGACTGCTCGCTACACTTAGGTCATGTCGCTTACCTTTGTATATAAGCTTAATTTTCTCTGACAATTCTTAATATTGCTTATCGGAAAGTTAGTTAAAAACATTACTAATATAGTAAATGTACACTTTACTGTCTGAGTAACTGAAGTTTATGCTTGTGGAAGTACCTGGGAGTACGTGGGGGTACGTGGGGGTACGTGGGGGTACATGGGGGTACATGGGAGGACATAGTATGTAAGAGAGATATCAGAGTACTTGATAGTTGACACTAACGCTGAACTGAGAGAACTATCTACTTCCAGATAAAGGACTATCGTGTATTATCTAGGTGCCTGAGGCGAGAATAGTTAAAAGAACCTTCAATATTACCTTCTATCAGAGAAAAAAGTACAGATAATGAATAAAAATAATACCGTGGCTGGAACAAGGCACAAATAACCCTCACAGGAGGAAGATCATTTTAAACTCTACCTTGAGAGAAGCTGGCTAGGCGTGACTCCACCCAGGAAAAGTTGTCGGAATTTGGTCTCCCAGTACTGGCGGTCCATGTCCATACCTTCCCACATGTCTCCAGCACTCTCCTGTCCTCTCAAACACAACACTTTAGCGTCACATTAGTTCCTCCATTGCACTTGTTTAATGGCGTTCGTCACTGTACACAGACTAACACTTCAGGTTCCCATGGAACAGAGGGCCGTTATACCATTATAATTAATAATTTCCAACTGTTTTCAAAGTGCCCACAATTCGGTATTAGATTTTCTCTTGCTAGGGCCTTAAAAAAAACTTTTTAAATTAATATTCTATGGAGCAAAATTGGAAAAAAAAATAATAGCATCACGTCTGATATATCTCAGATAAATTTCGAGCCTTCAGTCCCACTTTAATTTATTGCACTGAATAAACAAATATCTGCACGAGGGAATATCAGAGGATCAGTAATGAGTAATATGGTGAACCCCGAGACAAAACCATAGAAGATATATAGGGGAAAATATCAGCTAGGTTATCCAGTGATTCTGCTGACGTGTGTACGCGAAATTCTCTCACTGACTCCATCTTCGGGATTTTCGAAGTGACGGGGTTGTGGTGCCCACCGTCCTTCAGCCTCTCCATCTGAAAACTGACAGAAAGAAGTGTTACTTACGTTTCGAACTGCTGGACTGTTGAATAATAATGAATAAGTCACAGTACCATAACTGGAACTATTATCACCAGTCACAGTACCATAACTGGAATAATTATCACCACAGTCACAACACACCACAGCTTTAGTTGGGACAACGTTCGTTCTATGTAGTTCCTTATAGAGGTTGACAAAACTACATAGAGAGAAACATTGACCAAAGAAAAGTGTTTCTTGTGACCACGTTGTTGTCTCACAACTACTGCCTTGCAAAACCCTGGAACCATGGCCGCCTTGCTGATGCTAAAACTAACCTCATTCTAGGATATTTGTACCCCCATACAAACTTTATTCCTAATAATGAACGACTTGTGGCCCAGAAATGAAAAGCTGTGGACACACAAGTACTGGACACATACAACTATACAGAACTATACTCCCTGACGACATTGGAGGACGGATGTGATAGCGACATATACAACACTGAGAGGAATTGATAAGGTGGATAGAGACAGGATGTTCCAGAGATGGGACACAGCAACAAGGGGTCACAATTGGAAGTTGAAGACTCAGATGAATCACAGGGATGTTAGGCAGTATTTCTTCAGTCATAGAGTTGTTAGGAAGTAGAATAGTCTGGGAAGTGATGTAGTGGAGGCAGGATCCATACACAGTTTTAAAAGAGGTAATAAATTTATTGGGCAGGGAAGAGGACCAAGCGACCAGTGAAAAGGGGGGCCAGGAGCAGGTTTTTAACCCACCTTTGGAACCCAATAGATGAGTACAATAGGTGAGTAACTAGGTGAGTACAACTAGGTGACTACAAAAGGTAGTACAATTTTGGGGACCAAATAGGGGAGCCAACTAGGTGGTACAACGTGACCACAACTAGATGAGTAAACTAGGGGAGTACAACTGGTGAGTACAACAGGTGACTACAAAGGTGAGTACAACTAGGGCCAAACTAGGTGAGCACAACTAGGTGAGTACAATGGTGACCACAAATAGTGAGTAAAATGGTGAGTACAACTAGGTGGTACAAAATAGGGGAGTACAAAATAGGGGAGTACAACTAGGTGATACAACTAGTGACCACAATAGGTGATACAACAGGGATACAACTAGGGGCCAAATAGGTAAAATATGTGGTAAACAGGTGAGTACAAAAAGGGAGTACAACAGTGATCAAATAGGTGGACAACTAGGGGACCACAACTGGGAGTACAATAGGTGAGTACAACTGGAACCACAACTAGGGGACCAAAAGGTGACCACAACTGGTGTCAAAAAGGGGAGTACAACGGTGAGTACAACTAGTGGCCCAACAGGTGAGTACAACTGGGTTTAGTACAACTAGGGGCCACAAATAGGTGACCCCAACCCAGGGGCAACTGGGACCACAACTAGGGAGTACAACTAGGTAGTACAATAGGTGAGTACAACTAGGTGAACAACTGGTGACCACAATGGTGACCCCAACTGGGGAGTAAACTAGGTGACCACAACTAGGTGAGTACAAAGGGGGTACAACTAGGGGGGTAAAATAGGTGGCCACAACTAGGTGAGTAAATGGGGATACAACTAGTGACCACAACTAGGGGAACCCCAATAGGTGAGTACAACTAGGTGACCACAAAAGGTGGTACAACTAGGTGATACAACTAGGGGAGTACAAAGGTCCACAAAAAAGGGAGTACAACTAGGTGAGTACAACTAGGTGACCCCAACAAAGGGGACCACAACTAGGTGAGTGAACTAGGTGACCACAACCCAGGTGACCACACCAGGGACCAAAAACAGGGGACCCCAACTAGGTACCCAAATAGGTGAGTACAACAGGGGACCACAACAGGGGACCCCAAATATTGAGTACAATATGTGACCCCAACTAGGTGACCACAACTAGGTGATACAAAAGGGGGGTAAACTAGGTGACCCAATAGGTGGTACAATAGGTGAGTTCAATGGGAGTACAAAATAGTGGCCCAACAGGAGTACAACTAGGTGAGTACAACAGGTGACCCCAAAATGGTGACCACAATAGGTGCCCCAACTAGGGGTACAACTATGCCACAACTAGGGAGTACAATAGTGAGTACAACAGGTACCCCAAAAGGGAGTACAACTAGGTATACAATAGGGATACAACAGGTGAGTACAATAGTGAGTTTTCAACTATGACCAAACTGGTGACCACAATATGTGAGGGACAACTATGAGTACAAAGGTGAGTAAACTAGGTACCACAATAGGTGAGTACAACAGTGAGTACAACTGTGAGTACAACAGGTGATACAATGGGGACCCAACTAGTGACCACAACTAGGTGAGTCAACGGTGACCACAACTAGGTTAGTACAATAGGTGGAAACTATATGAATACAACTATTGAGTACAGCTAGGTATAAAAATAGGTGACCCCAACTAGGGGACCACAACTGGTGAAACCCCCCAAAAATAAGGAGTACAAAGGTGGGTACCAAATGGCCACAATAGGGGAATCAATGGTGATACAATAGGGGACCCCAACAGGGGACCACAACTAGGTACCACAATAGTGACCACAAAATAGGGGAGTAAACTAGGGGACCCCCAAATATGACCACAACAAGGTGCCCCAACTAGGTGCCACAACTATGAGTACAACTAGGGGACCCCAACTAGTGACCACAATTTGGTGAGTAAACAAGGGGACCACAACTAGGTGACCCCCACAGGGGAGTACAACTAGGGGGATACAACGGGTGACCACAACTAGGGGATAAACAGGTGACCACAATAGGGGAGTACAACTAGGTGAGTACAACTAGGTGCCCCCAAATAGGTGACCACAACTAGTGGTACATAGTGAGTAAACGGTAGTAAAAAGGGACCACAATGGTGACCACAAATGGGTGCCCCCAAAACTGGTGACCACAATAGGTCAGTACAACTGGGGTTCCCAACTAGGGATACAATTTGGGAAAAACTAGGGGGTACAACTGGGTGAGTACAACTGGTGAGTACAACTAGGGGACCAAAAATAGGTGCCAAAACTAGGACCACAATAGGTGCCCCACAATAGGTAGTAAAATAGGTGATACAACTAGGGGGTACAACTAGGGGTAAACTAGGTATACAACTGGGTGACCACAACTAGTTAGTACAACTAGGTGACCAAAACTAGGTGAGTAAACTGGTGATACAACGGGAACACTAGGTGGAAAAAAGGGTGAGTAAACTGGGGAACCCAACTAGGTGACCAAACTGGTGACCACAACTGTGCCCAAACTGGGACCACAAAGGTATACAACTTGATAAACAGGTGGTACAACGGTGATACAATGGGTCCCACAACTAGGGAGTACAACTAGGTGGAAACTAGGTGATACAATAGGTGATACAACTGGGTGGTAAACGGGTGAGTACCCTGGGTGGTAAAACTAGGGATCAACAGGTGCCCCACAACTAGGTGCCCAAACTGGTGCCACAACAGTAGACACGGCCTGAGCTGCTGCAGGTAACGTAAACAATCCACACACTGTCCTTGACAACGTGTTTTTTACATCCGGGATCTTTTTTTCCCAGGGTGACCCAGGTTTTTTATATACCTCACAATCATCACTCCACCACGACGTTCATGATGTTTCCACTTAAAACGAGCATTATATTCAAATACCCCCACCCTAGACCTATCAGGGGACCGGCCGGGGGGGGTTGACCCCCAAACCCACCATATACTCCCCCCCCAGATGTGAAGTGACCCTTTAGACATGTACAAAGGGCACATATTTTTTAATTATCAAGGCTGAGGGGTGATTACCTCAAATTCCTTTACTTTCTCCCCCTTTTTTGTATTTATGAAAGTCACTGACGGCGAAACGTTTCTCCTAAAATTCCCCAATGTTGTCACCCCTCGTTTTTTTTACCCTTTTATTACATATAATGTTTGTCAGGAAGCAGGACAAGTGTTTCCTGACGCGGGTCTTAGTCGTATGATGTCCCACAGCTGGAACTTTTGGTCATCTGACCGAGGACTTCCGCTGGCTTACCCCTTCACCTCTTTGAAAATCATGATTACATCACATCTTGTGGTTGATAAGGCGTCTTAAGCCTTGTAAGTGAGTTTTTCAGTTGATTCTAACTTCGTATAGAGTTTACACAGGTCAGATACACTCATGAGGTAATGCTTCAGACTCACAACTAAACAATCCAGGTTGGAACTCGGGATGAGTGGAAACACGGCATAATAATAATAATAATAATAATAATAATAATAATAATAATAATAATAATAATAATAATAATAATAATAATAATAATAATAATAATAATAATAATGATAATAATAATAATAATAATAATAATAATAATAATAATAATAATAATAATAATAATTAATCTTTATTTCTACAAGTACATGTACAAGGTATACAGACCATAGCTGACATCAGTGACATCCTACTATATAGAAAGCCCCTTGTTATGCTGAGCATTTCCCGCAAATTAGGTCAGTTTTGTCCCAGGATGCGACCCACACCAGTCCACTAACACCCAGGTACTCATTTTACACCGATGGGTATAACACGCCCAATGTTTCTACCCTCGTGGGGAATCGAACCCGGACATTCACCGTGTGAAGCGAGATTTTTTGCCACCAGGCCACGGGCCACTGTTCATCTAGTAGTAAGTAGGTACCTGGGTGCTAGGTGACTGTTGTGGGTGGTATCCTGGGGACGAGGACCACAATAAGATCTTATGGTTACAATACACTTGCTACACAGCGGACACATTTACACCAGACTACACTCTAAATCTGGTATATTGATACATAACATTAAGCTAAGGAGTAAGATATATGTGCACCTCTCCAACGCTTTTCATTGATGAGGCTTTCACTTAGGGGGCTCTGACCCCTCAGACTCAGCAACAGATACGATGAACTAAATCCAGCTAGGAGGAACAGCGTGATTGATCAGGCTTTCAGATGGAGGCCTGGTCTAGGACCAGACCTCGAGAGAGGCGTTTATCCCTGAAATGATCTTGTGACTTCATTTTTATGTGTGGGCGAAACGTTGTCAATAAAGGATCGCTTTCCTGTACCCTTTCTAATTGCTACGGTTTTGTGTCTTGGTGATTTCCTGGGTGTGAGGGGGTGGTGGGCCCTACAGACTGGCAGCAAGTTATACAAGACTAGACATGAAGCTGGTGTTTGGTCATCCATCAACAGGAATCATTACTTGAAACTAATTTCTCTCAGTTGAGGCTCGGGGGGCACATATCTCACCCACTGGTACCTGTTTACAAGTGCTCCTGCTTCTCCGTAGCTTGTGGTGAACGACCGTGGAACAAGATATAACTGTATCCACGGCTTTGGCCTTTTCACTTTCGTGTAGGTGAGCGTAAGTCGTACCTGGGCCAGTAGGCCTATTGCAGTGCTCCTCCATTCTCATTTTCGTGTGTTTTTGTGCAGATTCTCCATAAAATATTCCACCCCTTTGGCTACCTTGTCTACAGGAAAAAAATGCAGCCCCTCCAGCATTCCACAGACATGTTTCACTCTATCGTTACTGTATGCAGATTTATACATCTTTCTCCTCTACGTTCGGTTGGTAGAGCACTCATCTCACAAATTGTGGTCCGTATACTTGGAGGGGTGGAGTATACCTGGAGTATACCTGGAGAGTGTTCTCGAGGGGGTCAACGCCCCTGCGGCCCGGTCCATGACCAAGCCTCGATCCCTGGTACGAGTGGAAATATTAGGACGTGTTTTCTTAAGACACCTGCTGTCCATGTTCACCTAGCAGTAAAATAGGTACCTGGGTGTTAGCTGATTGGTGTGGGTCGTATCCTGGGGACAAAATGAATCTGATTTGCCCGAAATGCTCTACATAACAAGGGACTTTCTGTATAGTATGTCACTGAAGTGAGCTATGGTCTGTATAAGTTGTATCATGTACTTGTAGAAATAAAGATTATTATTATTATTATTATTATTATTATTATTATTATTATTATTATTATTATTATTATTATTTCAAGGCATACAGGCCAAGAGGTGTCCAGACGACATCAAACTAACTCTCATTATCCACCGTTCTTTCTACTGGACTGATGAAGTCAGTATCCGGGGAAACGTTTCCCCAATAAACCCAAGTGTTGCACAGGTGTCTTGTTCATCAACTTGTCGGTTTTGTAAACCATTTATGTAATAATGACGTATAACTGTTGTAATAATCTTAAAGTTCTTGCAAAAGTTCCGTCAGTAAGTTATGAAGAACTGTTTGATAAATGTTGAAGTTTCTGATTGATTACAAACACTGTGACTCTGTTGATGTTAGTTACAAACACTGTGACTCTGTTGATGTTAGTTACAACACTGTGACTCTGTTGATGTTAGTTACAAACACTGTGACTCTGTTGATGTTAGTTCCAAACACTGTAACTCTGTTGATGTTAGTTACAAACACTGTGACTCTGTTGATGTTAGTTACAAACACTGTGACTCTGTTGATGTTAGTTACAAACACTGTGACTCTGTTGATGTTAGTTACAAACACTGTAACTCAGTTGATGTTAGTTACAAACACTGTAACTCAGTTGATGTTAGTTACAAACACTGTGACTCTGTCATCTCAGCACCATTGTCATAAATGAGAAAATCCTGAGTGTGTGAAGCTGGTGTGGTTGTCAGTCGTCAGTGTCAGGTCACAGTTGACAGTGTCAGGTCACAGTTGTCAGGGTGTTGGAGCCTTGTCAATATTTCCTCCTGGAACCTTGTCAATATTTCCTCCTGGAAGCTTGTCAATATTTCCTCCTGGAACCTTGTCAATATTTCCTCCTGGAACCTTGTCAATATTTCCTCCTGGAACCTCGTCAATATTTCCTCCTGGAACCTTGTCAATATTTCCTCCTGGAACTTTGTCAACATTTCCTCCTGGAACCTTGTCAATATTTCCTCCTGGAACCTTGTCAATATTTCCTCCTGGAACTTTGTCAATATTTCCTCCTGGAACCTTGTCAATATTTCCTCCTGGAACCTTGTCAATATTTCCTCCTGGAACCTTGTCAATATTTCCTCCTGGAACCTTGTCAATATTTCCTCCTGGAACTTTGTCAATATTTCCTCCTGGAACTTTGTCAATATTTCCTCCTGGAACCTTGTCAATATTTCCTCCTGGAACCTTGTCAATATTTCCTCCTGGAACCTTGTCAATATTTCCTCCTGGAACCTTGTCAATATTTCCTCCTGGAACTTTGTCAATATTTCCTCCTGGAACCTTGTCAATATTTCCTCCTGGAACCTTGTCAATATTTCCTCCTGGAACCTTGTCAATATTTCCTCCTGGAACTTTGTCAATATTTCCTCCTGGAACCTTGTCAATATTTCCTCCTGGAACCTTGTCAATATTTCCTCCTGGAGACCATAAGGGTTCCTACCTAATAAGTTGAACTTGTCTAACACCGAGCTTCCAGGACCACAGTGGAAATAAGTTATTTTGTCTGAGTTTTTGGGTTATTCTAGATAATTTACACATGTTAATTTATATTTTGTGTAGTTGTATTTATGTGTACCTTTGCCTAAATAAACTTACTCCCTTAAAAATTATTGGCAATGTTGTAAATATTTTTCTACTTTTGGACCAGGATGATTTATGTCCCTTTTTGCGCTAAGACCCAGTGTTTTTTTTTTTTTTGTCCACGTGGGCTTTTCACTGTTTTTTTGATCCATCTTCTAACTGATCACTGAAAGACAAAAACTTTTGTGATATCTACAACTTAATCCTTTGATTCACTTCCCCAGGATGCCACCCACAACATTCAGTTATCACCTGGGAATCCATTTATTCCTGGGTCAACAGGGGCAAGAGATGTTAGGAGACTTGCCAATGAGTCTCAACCCCTTCCAGGATTGACCCCGAGTCCTTCGGTTTTGGGTGGAACTCTGAGGTACAGCATTATGCAATAGACAAGATCACTTCAAAAACTTCCATAGAATACAAAGGTTAACAACAGCCTGCTTGAACCTGGGTACCACATATTGTTAGGTAATACATGTGGGTGTTAATTAGGAAGACAGAGGTGGTACCTGAGAGGAGGGAGGTGGGTGTGTGGGTGGATTGGTGGGTGGATGGGAGTGGGTGGAGGAACCCACCTCGACTGCCACCACCACACTCAATGAACGTACTGAACACTGTGCAAGGTGCTCACCCACACCATCACTGCTGACACATCACTGCTGATACATCACTGCTGCCATGGCTCCACCACCCTCACACTCACTACACACCACCCACTCCCTCCCTCACTCCCTCACTCACTCCCTCACTCCCTCACTCACTCCCTCACTCCCTCCCTCACTCCCTCCCTCACTCCCTCCCTCACTCCCTCCCTCACTCCCCACTCCCTCCCTCACTCCCTCCCTCACTCCCTCACTCCCCTCCCTCACTTCCTCCCTCACTCCCTCCCTCACTCCCTCCCTCACTCCCTCACTCACTCCCTCACTCCCTCCCTCACTCCCTCCCTCACTCCCTCACTCACTCCCTCACTCCCTCCCTCACTCCCTCACTCACTTCCCTCACTTTACTCCCTCACTCCCTCCCTCACTCCCTCACTCACTCCCTCACTCCCTCCCTCACTCCCTCCCTCACTCCCTCCCTCACTTCCTCACTCACTCCCTCACTCCCTCCCTCACTCCCTCCCTCACTCCCTCCCTCACTTCCTCACTCACTCCCTCACTCCCTCCCTCACTCCCTCCCCTCACTCCCTCCCTCACTTCCTCACTCACTCCCCTCACTCCCTCCCTCACGTCCCTCCCTCACTCCCTCCCTCACTTCCTCACTCACTCCCTCACTCCCTCCCTCACTCACTCCCTCCCTCACTCCCTCACTCACTCCCTCACTCCCTCCCTCACTCCCTCCCTCACTCCCTCCCTCACTTCCTCCCTCACTCCCTCACTCACTCCCTCACTCACTCCCTCACTTCCCTCCCTCACTCCCTCCCTCACTCCTTCCTCCCCACTCCTCCCTCACTCCCTCACTCACATCCCTCACTCCCTCCCTCACTCCCTCCCTCACTCCCTCCCTCACTCCCTCCCTCACTCCCTCACTCCCTCCTCACTCCCTCCCTCACTTTCCCCACTCACTCCCTCACTCCCTCCTCACTCCCTCCCTCACTCCCTCACTCCCTCCCTCACTTTCCCCCCCTCACTCCCTCACTCCCCCCTCACTCCCTCCCTCACTCCCTCACCCCCTCACTACATTCCTCCTCCCTCACACTACCCTCCCTCACTCCCTCCCTCACTCCCTCACTCACTCCCTCCCTCACTCCCTCACTCCCTCCCTCACCTCCCCTTCCTCACTTCCTCACTCACTCCCTCACTCCCTCCCTCACTCCCTCCCTCACTCCCTCACTCCCTCCCTCACCCCTCCCTCACTTCCTCCCTCACTCCCTCACTCACTCCCTCACCACTCCCTCACTCCCCTCCCACTCCCTCCCTCACTCCCTCACTCCCTCCCTCACTCCCTCCCTCACTCCCTCACTCACTCCCTCACTCCCCCCCCACTCCCTCCCCCACTCCTCCCTCCCTCACTCCCTCCCTCACTCCCTCACTCCCCTCCCCACTCCCCTCCCTCACTTCCTCACTCACTCCCTCACTCCCCTCCCTCACTCTCCCTCACTCCCTCACTCCCTCCCTCACTCCCTCCCTCACTCCCTCACTCCCTCCCTCACTCCCTCACTCCCTCCCTCACTCCCTCACTCCCTCACTCACTCCTCACTCACTCCCTCACTCCCTCCCTCACTCCCTCCCTCACTCCCTCACTCCCTCCCTCACTCCCTCCCTCACTCCCTCACTCCCTCCCTCACTCCCTCCCTCACTCCCTCACTCCCTCACTCACTTCCTCACTCACTCCCTCACTCCCTCCCTCACTCCCTCCCTCACTTCCTCACTCACTCCCTCACTCCCTCCCTCACTCCCTCCCTCACTCCCTCCCTCACTCCCTCACTCCTCCATCACTTCCTCACTCACTCCCTCACTCCCTCCCTCACTCCCTCCTCTCACTTCCTCACACTCCCTCACTCCACTCCTCACTCCCTCCCTCACTCCCTCCCTTTACTCCCTCACTCCCTCACTCACTTCCTCACTCACTCCCTCACTCCCTCCCTCACTCCCTCCCTCACTCCCTCCCTCACTCCCTCACTCCCTCACTCCCTTCCCTCACCTCCCTCACTCCCTCCCTCACTCCCTCCTCACTCCCTCACTCCCTCACTCACTTCCTCACTCACTCCCTCACTCCCTCCCTCACTCCCTCTCCTCACTCCCTCCCTCACTCCCTCACTCCCTACTCACTCCCTCCCTCACTCCTCCCTCACTCCCCTCCCTCACTCCCTCACTCCCTCACTCCCTCACTCACTTCCTCACTCACTCCCTCACTCCCTCCCTCACTCCCTCCCTCACTCCCTCCCTCACTCCCTCCCTCACTTTCCCCCACCCCTCACTCACTTCCTCACTCACATCCCTCACTCCCCTCCCTCACTCCCTCCCTCACTCCTCCCTCACTCCCTCACTCACTCCCTCACTCCCTCACTCACTTCCTCACTCCCTCCCTCACTCCCTCCCTCACTCCCTCCCTCACTTCCTCACTCACTCCCTCCCTCACTCCCTCACTCCCTCACTCCCTCCCTCACTCCCCCTCACTCCTCCCTCACTCCCTCCCTCACTCCCTCACACTCCCTCACTCACTTCCTCACTCACTCCCTCACTCCCTCCCTCACTCCCTCCCTCACTTTCCCCCCCTCACTCCCACCCCTCACTCCCTCACTCCCCCCTCACTCCTCCACCTCCCTCCCTCCCCCCTCCCTCACTTCTCCTCACTCCCTCACCTCCCTCACTCACTCCCTCCCTCACTCCCTCCCTCACTCCCTCCCTCACTCCCTCACTCCCTCACTCACTTCCTCACTCACTCCCTCACTCCCTCCCTCACTCCCTCCCTCACTCCCTCCCTCACTCCCTCCTCACATCCTCACTCCCTCACTCACTTCCTCACTCCCTCCCTCACTCCCTCCCTCACTCCCTCCCTCACTCCTCACTCACTCCTCCCTCACTCCCTCCCCACTCCTCCCCCACTCCTCCCTCACTTCCTCACTCACTCCCTCACTCCCTCCCTCACTCCTCACCCCCTTCCCTCACTCCCTCCCTCACTCCCTCCCTCACTCCCTCCCTCACTCCCTCACTCCCTCCCTCACTCCCTCCCTCACTTCCTCACTCCCTCCCTCACTTCCTCACTCACTCCCTCCCTCACTCACTCCCTCACTCACTCCCTCACTCCTCCCTCCCACTCCCTCCCTCACTCCCTCCTCACTTCCTCACTCCCTTCCCTCACTCCCTCCCTCACTTCCTCACTCCCTCCTCACTCCTCACTCACTCCCTCCCTCACTCCACATCCCTCACTTCCCCCCCACTCACTCCCTCAACCCTCCCTCACTTCCTCCCCCTCCTCCTTCCTCACTCACTCCCTCCCTCACTCACTCCCTCACTCCCTCCCTCACTCCCTCCCTCATCCCTCCCTCACTTCCTCACTCACCCCTCACTCCCTCCCTCACTTCCTCACTCACTCCCTCACTCCCTCCCCTCACTCCCTCCCTCACTCCCTCCCTCACTCCCTCACTCCCTCCCTCACTCCCTCCCCCACTCCTCACTCCCTCCCTCACTCCCTCCCTCACTCCCTCCCTCACTCCCTCACCTCACTCACTCCCTCACCCCACTCCTCACTCCCTCCCTCACTCCCTCCCTCACTCCCTCCTCACTCCCTCCCTCACTCCCCCTCCCTCACTCCCACCCTCACTTCCCCCACTCCTCACTCCCTCCCTCACTCACTCCTCCCTCACTTCACTCCCTCACTCCCCCCCTCACTCCCTCACTCCACTCCCTCCCTCACTCCTCACTCTCCTCCCTCACTCCCTCCCTCACTCCTCACTCCCTCCCTCACTTCTCACTCACCTCCCTCCCTCACTCCCTCCCTCACTCCTCCCTCACTTCCCTCACTCCCTCCTCACTCCCTCCCTCACTTCCCTCACTCCCTCCCTCACTCCCTCCCTCACTCCTCCCCCCTCCCTCACCCCTCCCACTCCTTCCCCCACTCCCTCACTCCCTCACTCACTCTCACTCCTCACCTCCACACTCCCTCCCTCATCCCTCCTCACATCCTCCCTCACTCCCTCCCTCACCCCCCTCACCCTCACCTCACTCCTCACCCTCACATCCCTCCTCACTCCCCACTCACTCCCTCACCCTCACTCACCTCCCCACTCACTCCCTCACTCCCTCCCCACTCCCTCACTCCCCTCCCTCACTCCCTCACTCCCTCCCTCACTTCCTCACTTCACTCCTCACTCCCTCCCTCACTTCCTCACTCACTCACTCACTCCCTCACTCACTCCCTCACTCACTCCCCCACTCCCTCACCCTCACTCCCTCCTCACTTCCCCCTCACTCCCTCACTCCCCCCTCACTCCCTCCCTCACTTCCTCCCCTCCTCCCCCACTTCCTCACTCACTCCCTCCCTCACTCCCTCCTCCTCACTCCCTCACCTCCCTCCCTCACTCCCTCCTCAACTCCCTCCCCACTCCCTCACTCCTCCTCACTCACTTCCTCACTCACTCCTCACTCACCCTCCCTCACTCCCTCACATCACTTCCTCACTCCCTCCCTAACTCCCTCACTTTCCCTCCCTCACTTCCCACTCACTTCCCTCACTCCCTCACTCACTCCCTCACTCACCCCTCACTCCTCCTCATCCCTCACTCACTCCTCCCTCACTCCCTCACTCCCTCCCATCACTCCTGTCCCTCACTCCCTCACTCTCACCACTCCTCACTCCCATCCCTCACTCCTCCCTCACTCCTCCCACACCCCTCCCTCACATCCCTCATCACTCCTCACTCCTCCCTCACTTCCACTCCACTCCCTCACTCCCTCACTCCCTCACTCACCCTCCACTCACTATCCTCAACTCACCCACATGTTCCTCACAATTATATAAACAACAAAAAATAATAATATAATAATAATCAATAATATAATAATAATAATAATAAAATAATAATAATAATAATATCTTTATTTCTACCCACACGATACAACTTATACAGCCTAGCTGACATCAGTGACATACACTATACAGAAACCCCCTTGTTATGCAGAGCAAATTACGTTAACTTGCCC